TGATCATCTCGATTTAATGAAACTATTGTAAGTTGAAATTAAATATTAAATAATTTGATTTAATAAGTTTTACAAAGTACAAAGAACTTGTACAGAGATCAATTAATATCATAGGTATTCAATTGCTGTTTATTAAACCATAAGAAATTTGTACATCAAATTGTAGAGTAATTTAATTTCTTTTGTAATATATTTGTCCCCTTAATTAAGATATTAAAACGAAGAGCATTATTTAATTAAAATTATTATGCAATATTAATCCACTTTGCAAATACAGGTAATGCAAAAATTTTCAATAATTATAAACGAAACAACTTGAATCGTTTAATTAAAAATAAAATTATCTTCCATTTATCATCGATTAAAATATTAATTAAAATATTAAAATTATTCAAATTACAAAATCACGACAAGTTAATTTATTAAATAATCTTATTTACATGGTGCAACGAAATATATATTTACTCGACGCAATAATAATTTCACCAACAAAACGAACGAAATTAAGGAGAGAGCAAGAGCTCAAACTTAACTCTCAATATATTAATCTGGAAGAAATTTACTGGAATAATTAATGACGATTTAACATTGCCACCTCGAATCGAAAATACGGAGACTTCCATCCATTTCCAGTCTGGAAACGAATTACGACCAACTTTAATACCCTTAACTTGGATAATACTTTGCGCAAAGAATCGAAAAGGAGGAAAGTTTGAGTTATCGAGGCGACGATTTCTTCTCGCTTGAAAAACCCTTTCGAAAAAATTTCGCGGCCATTTTCTTTCTCGCCGTGTTGCCAAGTTTAACTTGACACTTAATACCAGTAATAAATACTTATCACGGGAGAATAAAGTAACTTGGGGGGATCGTGTGGTTTCTCTTTTTTCAGAAATATTAATGGTAATACAAGAGGCGAAATAGCCTAGCCGAGTACATTCTCCCCTTTACATATGACGTCACGAAGGGTTGTTTCAACTGTCGGATATTGCAAACAACGGATGACGTCAAAATGCATCGTGGTGCGATGTAAAAGAGTACACATGTGAGCATCGGTTGTACGCACGAGGGAGTCGTAAGGTCTAAGATTAGCAAGTTTTATTATATGCAGAGTGATTCATAAATGTCATAAGTTAATCTCTCAAGAGCAAAGTTATTCTTAAGTGAATATTCTTGCGTGTATGTATATTAATATTATAATAGAAAATTTTTTAAAATTATTCTAAATAATATATATATATATATATTATAGTAGAATTTAATAAGAGTACAAGGTTAATGTAGTAATATAACGTAATAAAGATGAAGACTCGAAGTCCAAAAATTCCAATAGAGCTATTTATATCATAGGTATCATAGGAATTTAATATTATCCCCCATAAAATTTGCTAGAAACTAGAACATTAACTCCTCTATACAATTTAATTTTATGAAAAAAGAAAAATAGAGGAAATTAATTACACAATTATTACATCTTTGTATCATCGATGAATAAAAAATAAATAAATAAATAAAACTCAACGTTATTATATAACAAGATTCCCTTTAATCGTCGATAACTCGAAAACTCGATGTTGACACACGTTCCTTCCAATGGCATAAGTTTATGAAATCGAATTCGCTAAGAAAGAAAAGAAAAGGAAAATTGAAAACATAAAAAATAAAAAGTGACATAGAACTCGCTTTAATAAGATTCCCTTTCGATAACTCGAAAACTCGATGTTGACACACGTTCCTTCCAATGGCATGTGTTTATGAAATCGAGTTCGATAAAAAAGAAAAAAAAAAGAAAAGGAAAATTGAAAAAATAAAAAATAAGAAGTGACATAGAACTCGCTTTAACTTTGTACCTGTAAGGGTGAACCGTGGTCGCGAGCCACGATCGATAGACTATCTAAAGCTGCACTCACCAGGTCTTTGCTTTATTGGATATCACTCGATCTTATCTTTCAAGGAATCGCATTCGAGTATAGTCGATTGATCGGAACAGAGGCCCATCCATCGAATCGCCTCCCCCCCCCTCCCTTTTTTTTTTCTTTCTCCTTTACCTGAATTTTGCAATAATCGAGAACAATCCTCTTGGATGGAAAATTTTCCTCCTCTCTACTCTCGTATTTCAATTTATGTAATATTTTTTTTATTATTGAATTAAATTTTTCAAGTAAACGGTAATTTTAAATATTTGATCAATTATTAAATATTCAGATAGATTTTTGGATTAAACAAAAAAAAAAAAGGGGTCTAGTAATTTAATATTACAAAGAGATTATTTCTTACGAAACTTTTGGAAAAAAATCTTGGAAAGTTTTGCAGGGGAGGGGGAATTGAATTGAAAACTTTAACCGTGCTGGTCGAATTCGTGACTTATGATTATGCGCGTAGTTGGGGACAGTTGCGAAGTAAATTGCAAAGTTCGAATAAATTGACAAAAGTAAGTAAGAGGAAGGGTAAGGGGGAGGGGAAACGAGGTTAAAGGATCAATTTATTCGGCTGTTAAAAGAAATAATAATCCTTCACTTTGTCACCTGTACTTTGTTCGAGAAGTTATCGCTATTGTAAGAGATAATAGTCGATCTATGAGAAGCACTTGTTGGCTGATTAGTTATCGACTAATACTACTTATTCGATTTACGCCCGATCTTCATTGCTTCGTCGCGTTTCAGAAAATTTGTTATTACTTGTTAAACTGGGAGGAGAATGTCAATCTTTCGCAATATTAATCAATATAATAATATTATTAATATTATTATAAATTTATCATTATTATTATAAATTTATTATCAATATGATAAATTTTCTTTTTTTTTTTTTTTCGATGAATAATAAATTGTCAACAATAACAATGGAGTGACAACAGGAGAAACGATTGACGATATTTGTACATTTTCTTTTTTCTCTTGTAAAAGTTTTACAAGATTTGTAAAAAAAAAGGAAAAGAAAGAAAAGAAAGAAAAAGATAACTCGAAGAGTTCAACTGTTCTTCAACTTCATCCTAGCAAATTGAAAATTCTGAGTGACGTACCCCATTTCTGTTGACCATTTTAACAGTCATTTAGAGGAGGATATTACTTTCTGTAAATACGTGAATTTCAATTTAACTTGGCGGCCACGCCAAAATGAATAGATAATGCAGGCCGTCATATTACGGTAATTCTCATTTATTTATCACTATTTATTCCAATTTCACATCTATCGTTTCCCCTTGTAGCCAATATTTATTTAAATTTTAATCAAACGAAAATATCACTTAATATTTGTTTAAAATCAAATTTTATGATTTATATTTTATAATATTTTAATAAAATTATCACATTCTCTAATCTTGTTCAATTTACGATAAAAATTGAAAAGAAAAATATTTAAACTTGGTTTATTATTAAAAATTCCATTATTTTTTTATATGGCATTAAACAATAAAAATCAAGTTCGAAGATGTTGCAAACTTGGAATTTAGAAATTTTCGACATGAAAATTCGTACAGAGGAGATCTGAAACAAGAAATAGCCTAATTCCAATGATGCCAACATTGTGCCGAGAATTGTGCGTTTGGCGTTAAACATCAAAGCCGTCGAAATTTCAGAGATGTACGAGTTGTTGTACACGTCACGTTGTTGTATACGTCAAACGTTGCTTGATTCGATGAAATGCAACCTCTACTTTGCTCGATTTATCACGGATTAGTAGCACCGTGGAAACAAGCTTTATATTTAGACTTCAAAGGCGTCGATAAAATATATATATCACTAAACAGAAAGAATTTCCAAAAACTTCCAAACCAAATGAAGAGCTTTGAAAATGGAAAAAATTTTATATTAAATTGAAGAAAGGGAAAAGAAAATTTTGTAATTAACAATTGTAATTAAAATAATAAAAAATATATATATCACTAAACAGAAAGAATTTCCAAAAACTTCCAAACCAAATGAAAAGCATTGAAAATGGAAAAAATTTTATATTAAATTGAAGAAAGGGAGAAGAAAATTTTGTAATTAACAATTGTAATTAAAATAATAAAAAATATATATATCACTAAACAGAAAGAATTTTCAAAAACTTCCAAACCAAATGAAGAGCTTTGAAAATGAAAAAATTTTATATTAAATTGAAAAAAGAGAGAAGAAAATTTTGTAATTAGTAATTGTAATTAAAATAGTAAAATATGTATATATCTAAACAGAAAGAATTTCCAAAAACTTCCAAACCAAATGAGGAGCTTTGAAAATGGAAAAAATTTTATATTAAATTGAAGAAAGGGAGAAGAAAATTTTGTAATTAACAATTGTAATTAAAATAGCAAAAAATATATATATATATCTAAACAGAAAGAATTTCCAAAAACTTCATCAAATGAAGAGCTTTGAAAATGGAAAAAATTTTATATTAAATTGAAAAAAGAGAGAAGAAAATTTTGTAATTAGTAATTGTAATTAAAATAGTAAAATATGTATATATCTAAACAGAAAAAATTTCTAAAAACTTCCAAACCAAACGAAGAGCTTTGAAAATGGAAAAAATTTTATATTAATTGAGAAGAAAATTTTGTAATTAATACTTAAAATAATAAAGTATATATATGATTATTAATCAACTTCAATGATCTTAATATATTTTGTCGATATGTTTCCACCATTTTGAAGCTGATCCAATTATCCGGATCAAAGATAAATTAGTGTACATCTGTTTGCGAGGATATCTGTTCGAAATATGGCAGGATGTGTAATAATATTAAGTGTCGCGAATGTGTCGTGTATCGACATACAGATTTTCCAATTTCCAGTTTAATTTATGGAAAAGCAAAATGTATTAATGTATTAAAAAAAATTAATCAATTAATCAACCGAATGTCCACGATTTGAAATAAACAAATAAATTGTTTGAAAATTTAATTTCAGCATCATCGAGAAGCTTGTACATTCTCTATTTTGATAAAATAGAATTATTATCAATAATGTTATCTATATTTGTCGTTTATTTTTCTAATAAATTTCTTATCTCTTTTTCAGATTATCCTTGAAGGAGGGGAAACAATTTGAAGAATAAAAAGCTCTTATGGGTGTCTAAGCACACTGAACATTACAATACTCGGTAAGCGAGTCGTCGTTCTTGTTGCGTAAGAAGAAAGTTATTAAAAGAAATTGAAAAAATTCCTTTACTTTTAAAAATCTAACAAAATACAAAATGATCTTTTAATCGATTATGATATACAAAGTATATTTATGGAATATTTTAAAAAATGATTTTATTCATTATGTAATAGAAAGTATCGTTTCAAGATGAACAGATCGATACAATCAATTTTCGAACGATTCACTTTCGATAGATGCACACGCCATTTCTGCAACTATCACCTTTACGTCGTTGAGCTAAACATCTGATAGCGCAAGCTGAATGATTAATGCTCAGCCATTTTGATTGCCACGATAAAACGTTGCACGTTACCCTTCGATGTCGTAGTAGTAGCGGTTCGTTGGAATCTATCAATTCTGTATCTGGTTCTATATTTTCTTCCTCAATTTGTCCTAGTGAAAAATTCAAATCTTGGATTTTATTCGTTTATCTAATTTATGTAACTTATCTTTAATTGGTTTTAACTTATTCATGTTTTCGATGTTATTGATTGATTTATTATTAATTTTGGCAATAAAACAAGAAAATTTTAGGATGAGATTTCGTTTTAAAATTTGTTTCTCGAGTAAAGAATAATTAAAAGATAGATACAATAGATAAGATAATAATGTCTGCACTAGTAAAACTTGTCATTAATTTTTTACTAGATTCTAGTAAAAAAAAAATATAGCAGTTTTAAAAATTCGATTATTTAATTTATTTGATTATCGATCATTTTTCTTTTAACGATACAAGAAAATTTATTTGATATGATAAATAATGTACGTAAATCATTGTATCTATCTTTTAATTATTCTTTACTCGAGGAACAAATTTTAAAACTGGCAATAAGATAAAATAAAATTTAGCAATAGGACAAGAAAATTTTAGAATGACAAGATAATAATGTTTATACTAGTAAAACTTGTCATTAATTTTTTACTAGATTCTAGTAAAAAAAAATATAGCAGTTTTAAAAATTCGATTATTTAATTTACTTCATTATCGATCATTTTTCTTTTAACGATACAGAAGAAAATTTATTTGATATGATAAATCATTGTATCTATCTTTTAATTATTCTTTACTCGAACAAATTTTAAAACGAAATCTAAAAAATATTTTACACTCTCTAACGTTCTCGACGATTAAAATAAACATAGTTTAAAAAAAAAAAAAATAGTACTCACTCAACTCGTAAATCGATTCATCGTAAACAACTTCAGAAACACTTGCGCAAGATGCGTAAACGATTGCGACGAGAATCGCAAAAAGTACAAAGACCTTCATCTTCCTCGCACAAAGCGCTATTATACCTCGATTAAATTTAGAAGATAGCAATGCTCTCCTCGAGATCCCTAAGTTAAGATTTACGTTCGAATGATGGTGGTTTATATACGCGATCGAATCATAGGGGAAAAAAAAAATCACTAAAATTCCGTTGATTTCAATTTTCCTTTCCACTTCCGTCTCCTGCAAAAATTTCCTGCCGCGACTCGTCGTGGAAATCACATCTACGCAATCTCGTGCGTGTTTTCTTACGCGTTATTTCGTTATTATAATTATTAATTTCAAAAGTTTCAGAAAGATTAAAATTTGATGAACTCGATGTTGGAGAAAGAAAGATATTTCGTCGTGTATCGTTTTATTTTGTTTCAGAAGAAGATCTAATGATTCTCTAAATAAATTTAATATTTTAATCGTATGTTTTATACAAGTTTTTTCTACTAATGAATAAAAGTTTTGGATAAAGGGAGGATACGTGAAGGTTGTCTCGAATATTTAATAGTTTTAGATTTTGTTTAAACTTTTTTAAACGATAATGAACTCTGAGTTTATTTATTTATTTAGAATAAACAAATTTTTGAACGCAATAAAAAAGACAATTAAAAAATTAATTCTTCTTTCTAAATTTAAGATTATTAAAAATCAATGAGACATTAAAAAATTATGCGTTTAAATATTATCTTGTTTTAAAAAAAAAGAAAAAGTGAAAATTTCAATTAACAAGAAAAATACGTTTTTTCAATTTAATAAAAGTATACAATGAACCAGGATCGAGGACGAGGATAAAGAATTTCATTATTCGATACCGTCTGGCGAATCCTTGTTATCTCAAAATATTTGATCAAATTCAAAAGCCAGATCACGACGGTTCGACGTTGTCCTCGATCCAAACCTTATTAAGTTTAATCGAATGAAGTTTTAAGTATAGGTTGCCTCAAATTTTCACTCCCTTTATAGGTAAAGAAATCATTCGGCTCGTTGATCCGTGAAGAAAAGACTAGCGATAGTTGCCTGATTTTATCGACGAAAATAAATCATACGTGCACAACGTCGAATCGATATCGTCGTCCACGTAAAGGACGAACTTGTTTTCCGGAATTCCACGTCTTTAATGCATGGAACTGTCAAACTTTCCAAATTTAACGTTCACGAATATATATATATATATATATATTTTAGATTTATTGTAATAAAATATATTGAAATATTCGAAATGCAATGGAAATGGAAAATGATGGGTGAAGAAAATGGGGTTGAAGTAGAAATTTGAAAATTATTCTTCAATTTTTGAAGGATATTTGAGAGATGAAATATTAATTCCAGAGAGAGAAATAAAATCGCGAACTTTGATTTTTAATATTCTCTCGATACACTGATATAATATGTACAGAGTGATACATTTCGAGACGAAAAATAACGAGAGCGATTTAACCGAAAGAGAATATCGACTGCGAGCAACATTTATTCCGAGCACGTGATGCATGTGCATGTTTGCGCAATCTGTTTTTAACAGGCGAAAAACTCCGCAATGCACAACTAAAGCGAAAGTACTGTGGAAAAAAAAAAGTGAAATGTAGAACGTTAAAAATAAAAACAATATTTTCTCCCTTGATATTTACAATACTCACGTATCAATGACAAAAAATTACGTGTCATTTATTTAAAAAAGAATCGAGCAAATATAAATTATTACATTTGTACGAAAAATGACTTGGGATCGATACAACTGTCTTCGATTCGAATAAAATCAGTGACGAAAATTTTCTTATTTTTAGACGGGAGTTTCTTCGAAACAAGATGAGAAAGCAATCGTACAGCTCGAATTTGAACACCGGAAGCTGTGGCGAGCCACAGATCATCGTGGAGGAAAGCACGTTGGGAGAGGAGGAAGCGGAATGGCGGAGGAACGAATCGCCTCCACGATGCATGGATCCCGATTCGCCATCCTTGAATCCTTATCTATTGTCCCCTTGGAGAGAAACGAGGAAGCATTCTCTACCGACACCGCAATGTACTTCCGGTATAACCGCATCACAGGTACGACGATTATACACTTAAACCGCATCCCCTTCCTCGATAATGTATTTTTAATGCGTGTGTTTTAGGATCAGCTGACTATTATTGTGGCATGATATCTGTACGATACGTTTCAAGAGAGTTATATTTGAAAGGAGAAATGATCTATCGATCATTTTCTTTTATTTATTTTTTTTTTCTCTTTATAATAATAATCATTGTAGTAAAAATAATAAAAATAACAGTTATCTTTATTACGAGAAAGAAAATTTCGTATTAAAACGATTTTTCATATCAACAGGTGAGACGATTGAGCGAACGTGGCGGTGAATCAGGACCATCTGCGAGAGAAGCCGCTTTCCTGTCCACCCTCTCTCAAGCACCAGCCCCTCAGCCAGGCGGCCGAAGGCACTCGGTCGTCACCATTTCCAGAGTACCACAGACTCTATTCAGCCGTAATCGTCGTGAATCAATTGCCGCTTTTCCACTCGGAGGCGCGACCAGAATATTGCCGGGTCGTCGAGATTCGGAATCCAGAATGGGTGGACCACCGAGCAATACCGGAAGCTCGCATAATCTTCAATTAGATATTATGGACGATATCGCGGAGATGAAAGCGAAGAAGGTTAAGATTTAATGATAAATTTAACTCGATCGGTAATTTTGTACCGATCGAGTAAGTAATGTATCAGATCCATCTCCAGATTAAACAATGCATCATTTTAATTAATTAATATGCGCAAAGAGATGTTCTATACATTCCACGTATATCATTGTGTCTAAAATTAGTCACATTTATTAATCCAGATCCAATTATTTTCTTTACTTCATCAATTTTAATAATTCGCGCGAAGAATAAACAAAATTAAAGAGGGGAGTTACGTTTCAACTAAAACCAATCTCATCCGTAGGTGCTCTTAAAGATGTACAAGACGTCGACGGAACAAGTGTGCGAGATCCAGCCACTGGAAGGTAATAGCTCGACTCAACGATACACCCAATATCCGAAACGACGATTCTCTGAAATGCCCGCACCTTCTGTGTCACCGACCGCCTCTATCCGAAGACGGGCCTCGGAAGTGCCGAGAGCCACGAGTGCTTCCGTTTCCGGCGCAGCGGGCATCGTCTGTTCCAATACCGATCTGATATCGATCCTGAGCTCATTGGCCTCTTCCGCGACCGAGATCAACCGATGCGGCGAAGAAGGATCGAGTACACGCGAGGAGAGCAAGTCGAGTTGGTCTGGGAAGACGGCTGAACAGAAACGAAGTCGATTGAAAAGCTTTCGTTCCAACAGTTTCGATGTATCCATTCTTCACGGGGCGAAAAGCAAGCTGGCCGGATCCTCGAAAGCTGCAGCTTCGACTATCATGGCTCCGTCGAATTGGTTCACCAAGAGACATCAACCGATGTCGAAGAAACAGAAGCCGGAAGATTTAATCACGGCTAGTTTGAACTTCAAGTTCGATAAATCGAAGGTCGTGAAGGCGGTTAAAGAGACACTGGGCAAAACGTCTCCTAATATCGATATCAGACACAAAGTTGTATGGGATGACACCAGTGGAACGAAGGTGGACGCTCAGGTCTGTTGTATGTCTCGTTCTCCATTGTATTTTCGTGTGCGATAATTTATTAATTTTCTTGCACAAATATTATTGGTAAAATTTTACAAATCACGAGTTATTTTAATGATTTATTTTTATGGTAGCAACAAATTTAGTTTCATAAATGAATTTTATAAATAAAAGTCATCCGATTCAACAAATAATATAAATATTATAATAATATAAATATAAATAATAATATATTCAACAAATAAAATAAAATTGTGTAATTATGAAAGGAAATTCTGTAATTTACGTCTTGATTTAATATTATTAATGTAAATTATTGTATAGAATCATAATTATTGTATATTGAATCAATATTATTTGATTAGTAAGGAATTGTAGGTTTTTGTGTATATATGGCTTTCTCAATTTTTTCAAAGCAAATATAGAAAAATATTTTGTTGTAGGTATTGGGTAGCGCAATTGAAAAAATTTTAACGGCGCAAAGAGGAAATGATGCGGAAGCAACCGGATCGAACAACAAATCCTCGGTATCTCCAAACAAACCAAGATCAAGTAAAGTGACGAGTTGGTTTTCGAGTACCAAAGACCAAGAACAAACCGAATCCTGCGAACCATCTATCTGTTCTTCTTTAAAAGATCTATTCGTCAAGTAGTATGGAAATACAAACACGGGTCTCGCTCGTTTGATTAACGCTTCTTCGTTTAAGAATTTATTCAAAGATTAACACGACCTAATAGATAACTGACCATCTCATTTAATTCAAGCTAATGAATACTACGTATATTTTCTTTCCATTCCTATACTTCTAAGAGATGTTGTTTTATCAATTTTTTTTATCAATTTTCATATTTTAATATTCATGATTCTGAATATCTATTAGTAAAAATTTCAAAACTGGAGTATTTTTTATTGTATTTTTATTCCATATTACATTCATAGATTCTCAGTAACGTCATAATTATATTATAATTATATTATAATTATTTTATATGTTTATTAATACTTAATCATCTTTGTAAAAATGTTTTTAATTTTATTGAAATTTTACAGTTGGATGAATGAAACAGATTCATTGGCATTGCGGGATCCATGGTTAAAAATTAGATATAAAAATCTATAAAACATCGTAGATCTAAATATTTCAATGAATGCAACTTTTAACAAGTAAATGTGGACAAAGGTTTAATCAATTTCTATATTTAAATAAATTTTAATAAATTATAATATTCAAAATATAATTAAGCAAAAATTCGAAGCTAAAATTTCGAAATATAATTGAAAAATATGTCGTATAATAAATGTTATATGATATTCCATAAATAAAAAAAGTATTTTTTGTTTTTTTATGAGAAGAATCAAATATAAAACAGATTGTTATTGAACGATACGATCGTTTCGAAATTAAAATATTTCGATCATATGTGTGTATAGTATATCCCGTATAAAAGATCATTCAATCATAATACAATTTTTTATTTATGAATATGATTTCAAACAATTAAGAAATTATGTTTACATAATTATGTTTAAAAAAAGACAAATTATTTAATTTGGTTTTTTAATATCTTTATAAATTAATTCATAAATAATTAGATATTAATCAATTTATTTTCAAATTTTTAATTTTTTAAAAATCACATCTTTTAATAAGTTAAAATAATATGCAAATTCTTTAATTGAAAGATGATATATATTTTTATCAATAAAAAATTTTAAAAATTCTACAATTTTAAATCAATTTTAAAAGCAGTAGATCTGTCTTTAGACATTGACAAATTTAACTGTCTTTTCCAGTAGTAAAATTTAAATAATATATTAAAAACGGCAGTAATATTTCTTACATATCCACAAATGGATATTGAAGCACAAAAAAAATCAATAAATATAATGGCTAAAGAATGATTAAAAAATTCTCATTCTTAAATTCAATACTTAATGGTATCCTTCTTTCATCAAACAAAATCTTAAAAAAATGTTGTTGAAGGAAAATGTAATGCGTGTATGCCTTTGCGGGTCGAAGGCTCAATAAATAATTGTAATATATTATATAAATGCGCATATATATAAATATGTATAATTGTGTGTATAAAAATTTACACATACATACTTTTAATAACGACTTAATTTATATTGTAAAATCGTAGCTAGATCTGTAGATCGTCAAAATGTGAGTGATATTTATGTTACATTATGGACATACTATCGTTATACTTTAAAAATATAATCAAAGAAACAAACAATGAGCAGATAATTATGGTAATTTTATTAATATACAAATGTTAAAAAAATGAAAATGAATTTTACTGAATAATATATAAATGTTTCATTAAATATGACTGTTACGTACATGTGTGGCTACCTGTACGAAATAACGTTGATATAATACTCATATTGTATTTATGGTTTCAGCTTTCACAGAATTAATAAAATCTGCAAAAGTTTAATCTACTTTCTTTTTTTCTTTTTAAAAAAAATTTAATCAATAACTATTTAAAAATATAATCATATGATATTTTTTATATTGTCAATTAATAAACAGTATTTATTTAAAAATAAAATTCAAAATATTAATGGTTATTTGTAATGATTATTTATTATATATCAATTTTTCTGTTTTTATTAATTAATGCATCTTTTTAATCCATATTTTTATTTTGATTATATTGATATCATGTGATTATATCATATGATTTCATTTAATTTATATTAATATTAAAATTGAATGAAATTAACATTACATGTTAGATTATGTTAGTACAAAGTGCATAAAAATTATGAATAGTAAAAGGCATATCAAAAATGCCATATCAATGAACAAAATAAGCAATACAATAAAAACATTTTCATTTATCATTTCAGATTATATTTATCTATGTTTATCAACCATATATTTATACTATATATATATATATATATATATATTGTAATATTTATAACTTAATGTTGAAAAATCCATATTAAAATTTATTTATATATTTTTCCTCTTTTAAACAATTTCAATTTACAGCATAAATTTATAATATGAAATCTCTAATGTAATTTTTAAATAAGTTTAAATTTAAAAATAAACAAAGATTAAAATTATAAAATATATTTATGAAATGAATCTTTTCTTTTAATAAAATAACTTAATAAAATATGGTTCCATTGAGAGGAATTCATACTTTATTTATGATAATAAATATACAACAATTAGTTCTGAAAACAATTTTATTTTATAGAAATCCCAATTACTGTGACCGTTGAAACTACATCTTTCAACATTTGTGTTACATCAAAATAAGATGGAATTACCTAAAGGCATTATCTGATATTACAGTTTACACTAATCAAATCTCTATTATCTTGTGTGCTTAGAAAAGGAATGGTGTATACATATAAAAACGAATAATGCCCTAGATAACATGAGCATTATTTTGATGGGTCTAAGTATAAAAGCACAATAGAAAAGTTAAAATATTCCGTAACGTCACAGATAAATGCATTGTACAGCAATCATGTAACACTAATTATGGACCTTGCTTACGAATTTTATCCTGATTGGATACTAAAATATGAGTAGGACATATAGAAGAATTATTTTATGAAATGCACGATTCATCTATACACATTTAGTGTGCTATATAATTTAATATCATTAAAGGAGAAATATTTCATGGAAGAATGTTGGATCTAAATTTTGTTCATTTGTTTTATATTACTTTGATTAGAAGAATGTTGCTTATTACAGGTAATGATGAATGAGAAATTGAACGATTTTTTATAATAAAAAAACAAACCAAAAATTCATATTAATAAATTCTATTTCATTACGTATTCCAACTTCAATTATTTATGATGAAAGATTGTACAATGCAGCTGATTTGTTAATTCTAATTTAAAAATTATACATTTTTTTCTTTTATATGAAACTCAATCCATAATATTAAAGAAAAATGGCGGCGATGATTAGAATGAATGAATCATACAATAAAGATAGCAACAGTTGTATGCAACAGCTAAATAAAAATGCAGTCATTAGAGTATCTAATTGAACAATCTACATTTCTCCACAGTCAGTTATTACAATCTTTTTGGAAGTTTTTCCACTTTGAGATCCCATAGCCTCCAACTAAAACAAAAAAAAAACCAATATTAAATTATATTAAAAAAAAAGTATTATTTATATTAAAAAAAAAGTATATATATTAAATTATTTAATCATTCATAGATTAAAATATATCTTAAAGTTTATATTTTAAAGTTCTTAAAATAGAAATAATAAAAATTCAATTTATATTTTGTAAATTATTATCATATATTATCAATTATATGGGTTATCATATGATAAAATATTTTTTAAATATCTATATATTTGTATGAAATAAGGCAAAAGATTAAGAATATAATTACATACTTTTCTAACAACATCCATTCCTTCAACAACTTTTCCAAATACAACATGTTTGCCATCAAGCCAACTTGTTTTGGCACTGGTAATGAAAAACTGACTACCATTAGTGTTTGGACCAGCATTAGCCATGGAAAGAATACCAGGTTCAGTATGTTTCAATGTGAAATTTTCATCATCAAATCTCACACCATAAATAGATTTGCCACCAGTGCCATTATGGTTAGTAAAATCACCTCCTTGGCACATGAAATTTGGGATCACTCTATGGAAGCTGCTTCCTTTATAACCAAAACCCTTCTCACCAGTACAAAGGGCTCGGAAATTTTCTGCAGTTTTTGGGACAACATCACTCCTTAACTGAAAATTTAATCAATTTTTTTCTTTAAAAAACATTATATCAAACAAAATATTTGATGATTATTTCTATATTATACATTGAATTAAATTATTACTTTATAAATAAATATATAATTATATATATAATAGAAATTAAATTAATATAATATAAAAATCAATGTTTTAATTATTATATTGAATATACTATATATATATATATACATATATATATACACACAACTACATAGTTGGTTTACTTATTGAAGTGGAAAATTTTACTATTAATATAACAACACAATGTTTATAAAAAAATTATATAAGTAAGAATTAACGTTCATATCTAAATACAAATGAAATTACATTATTACCACTTCCATTCTAGCTATGACGTGTTCATAACTTATTCATATTTTTTTTTTCTATGTTAAATTAATATGTGTAAAAAATCATAATTACAATATTTTAAGCTTACATAGCATTTAAAATTACCAAAAAAATTTGTTTAGACATATTCTATAATTACGCGCTAAAATTTCACCTGTACAGAATACGTAATCAAACGTGTCAGCGGCAATCGTGAATGGAAAATTTTACGATTCAGTAGAAATCAAAAAAAATTAGTAATACTATATATATTACATTTTATATGTATCATGCTTCACAATATCGAATGAAAAAAAATTTAGTCTTATTCGCTTAAAATAATTATTTCAAATAATAAAATATGCATAATAACAATTTTAAGGAAAATTCTAATCGAAAATCGTCTCACATAACCGGCTTTCAAGAAAATCCAAGATGGCCAATCATGCCGGGATTCCAACGATAACATGTTTTAGAAATAAAAACTACATTAATTGAAAATAATTTTCACTTACCTCCATTACGATACGACCCACAGGCTTAGTATCCGCGGTCATATCGAAGAAAACTCGCGGCAAACCCATTTCTTCTGCAATAACGGCAAAACTTCGTACGAGCAATGCGAAAGACGATCGTCTCGGCCGGGCGGTGGCTCCCAAATGGCTCAAATGGCTGAAGGTCGAATCAATTGACAGCCGGCAGATCGATCTCAACGCCATGTTCAAAGCTTACTTCTTTAAAAATCAATTTTAGACAGCTTAATCTCTTCCTTCTACTGAATAATATTGTTTGTATTGTTTTTCAAAGATAATTGTTTACTGTTTTATAGAATTATTATGTAATAAAACGGCGATTTCAGTTTAATATCGATAATTATTGAACGATAAACGTGCTTTTCCTGCTTGACCAATCCCGTATAACATTTCCTACAGCAATGTGAAATAACCAATAGCATGTTTTGTTTTTGATCACATAACAGAAAGAATAATAGTATTATGTTAAAATTTATAAAATTAAAAAAAAATAATTGAAATAAAATTTTAATCTAGGAATCTATAGTGTTAGTTATATATATTATTTTTAAAGATATAATTTTATTAAAATTAAATATTTTATAATAAATTTTTTTAATTCTTAAAATTTATACGATTTTGAATTACGTTTCTATGATTGCGCCTTAAAGTTTTTTATCATATATATGATTTACAATATATTTTTTATTAAAGATTTTTTTTTTCATTATTAATGAATAATAATAAATATATTTTTTAATAGCTATATAAATAATAATATAAATAATAATAGCTATAAATATATTTTTATATTTCGTAAACTATTAAAAATATCAATATAAATTATATGATATTATTTATTATATCATATATTATTTATTATAATTTTATCCATAAAATTAATATATATTCAATTGAATATTAAAAATATTGCTATATACTTACTTAAGTTTTATATTAAATAATTATCTAATTAATCTATTACATTCATATTCTTATTAAATTCTTTCACTTGAGGATATTATTTTTATAACCTATTCGAAGAAATCTTGTTTTAACTTATAATGAAAAGAGAACATGCAATTATACTAATACAACTCATTTGACATAACCAAAGGATGTTATGTCATGCTTTGCCTTGGATCTTGATAATCTTGATTGTGGACCAATCATGATTCTGTTCAATTTTATTGTGGCATATACGCCGGATATGACGTTTTGGTTCATTGTCATCATAATGAAGTAAAAATGAATTTATTTGAATTATTATAATACATTATATTATTATAATTGTGTTATATAAATATTCAATTACAAATATTATCTTATATTTAAAATTATTTTTTAAAAATGAATTAATTCAAATACATTAAAATATTAGATATCGATGATTGACAATAAAACAAGATATATGCGTTTTCATTCAGTTTCAATCTGATGAAAATGTTTCCTATGCGTCTAAACATACAATAGAATCAAATTAAAATTTGTCTTAATTTTTTTTATAATTATTTAAAAAATAATAATTATTTTTTATTAAATAATAAATTAGAAAAATTAGTATCAAACAAAATAACACTTTTATAGAAAATTTCATAAAGAATATATATTTAAAAAATTTTAAATTTAATTTACTTCCTGAAATAGAATAGTATTTGATTTCAGTAGTAGTAGCTAAAAAGATGGCGCCCGAATGAAGGACGCTCAATTAAGAATATAGTGAAAATCTTGTTAAATTTGTATTATTAATAATATTACATATTTCTTAAGAAATGAGTAATCTTTCACCATTTGGAGGTGGCAAAAATCCACCATGGGTTCGTAATGCAGGTATACTGATTTTATTATTAATATAAGATATCTTATTATATCGTCCCGTGTGTAAGTCAACAATGTTGCCAAGTTTCTGTTACAATTTATACAAGTCAATAAATATATTTATAAAATATATTTTATAAATATTTTTTTTAATACTATTGAAATGTCAAAAATTGATTTAAAATATTTATTTTTGAATAATAAATAAAATATAATTAAATTATAATATAACTTGTAAGAATAGAATATTAGTATTATTACATCTTCAATTTGTAATAATTTTGATTTTGAAATAAATTAATTTTTTTTATTTATAAGCAATCTTATTTTATATATTATACTATATTATACTTATACAAATAAGTTTATACTTATACATTAAGTTTCATACAAATTTTTATTAGAGAAGAAATTGTATTTTTTTAATATAAATATAAATAATAATATATTTATTTTATTTTCTTAATGTTTTTATAATTATTTAGTATTTTAGAAATAGAAATTTTTTATACATAATAATTATATATAATAAATTGTATAAAGAAATTTAAGTTAAGAAAATTAAATTCATAAGATATATTTATTGAATAAATTTATTAATAACAAGTTTATTAATATCATAAATTATATAATGTATTTTTAATGTGATTTATATGTTTATTTATACAAGTAATTAAAAATAATTTATATATATTTATTATTTATTTATATTTATAAATTATATAAATAATTAATATAATTATATAAATATTTAATATATTTTTTATTTATAGGACAAGGAATTCAAAATATTCAACAACAAATGTTAGGTCAAGCAATGGGTAGTATAGGTGGCCAACCTATGGTTCAATATCAACAACAAACGCAACAAGTTTATCAACAAAGTTTGGGATTACAACAGGTTAGTACAGATTATGGATTATATTAAAGGATATTAAAATGTAAAAATAATATAAAAATGTAAATATATGATATTTTATTATTAATAAAATTTTTATTATATTTTGTATATATATATTATATATTTTATATATGTTCTTTCTAATGGATATTAAAAATAATTTATTAAAATATATATTTTTAATTTTTTTATTATATTTAACATCATTTTATTATTTATTAATATTTATTAATTTGTATTTATTTTATAAAATAGCCCAATATAACAATGGCTTCAATGGCAACACTTGGATCTAACTTACCATCAGGTATAGCTGGTCAATTATATCCACAAGTTGCTACTGTTTCTTATCCACCACCAAGAGCATTAAATACAAATGCATTTCAACCTTCTGTTGCTGGTGTACCACAACAAGTACAACAAAATGTACCTTCATCTTCTACAAAACAAAGAGTTTTTACTGGCACAGTTACACAAGTATATGACAATTTTGGTTTTGTAGATGAAGACGTATTCTTTCAAACAAAGTAATATTATTTAAAAATAATATTTTTATTATTTTTCTAATTTGAAATTTACAATATGTAATATTAAAACATTCTTTCAGTGCATGTGTTAAAGGATCTAATCCAGTTGTGGGTGACCGAGTATTAGTAGAAGCATCATATAATCCATCCATGCCATTTAAATGGAGTGCTACTAGAATACAAGTACTTCCTATGGGAAATAATAATAATAATACTAATACACAACAAAATAATCAAAATACTCGCCAACAACAACAACAATCTCAACCACAACAAAATCGAACATCAGGAACATATAATGCTGTGCCCCCTCCTGCTGAAAATGCTAATAATAGGTAATTAATGTTAGATATTACTTTATTAATAACAGTTAATAAATTATTATGTTATGCAAAAATTTTTTTTAATATGATATATATAATATAATAGTTTTATTCAAGAAATATATAATTTTTTATAGATTCACAACTAGTGCAACAAGTGCTAATACAGCTAGTAACCGAAATAAAGTTGGTAGAGTAAGAGAAAGATCTCCACGAGAACGAAAAAATGAAGAAGAAGAAATTGAAAGAAAAAGACGCCGTGAAGAAAGAATTAGGGAACGCGAGAAAAAAGAGGAACGTAGTCCATCAAGAACTAGAAGAAGTAAATCACCAAGACCAAGACGACGTACTAGAGTTGTACCGCGTTACATGGTACAGATACCAAAAATAGCACTTGATTTGTAAGTGTATTATTACGAATTAAAAATTATTTTCATATCTTTTTTAATATATTTAAAACCATAGGATTTTAACTACTTATTATTTTAGACCTGAAGCAGATGTACTTGAAATAAGAAGACGCTATCAAAATATGTATATTCCTAGTGATTTTTTTTCTACTAATTTTCGATGGGTTGATGCCTTTCCTCCACATATGCCATTTGCTCTTAATAAGCCATGCTCTTTTCATGTCATGCACAAAGATGTTGATCCTTGTTCTGAAAATATAGCAGTACTAGAACCTTCAGATGCTGATTATCTTTTTTCTGCAAAGGTTTGTTAATTTAACATGGATATTATTGAGGCATTTAATTTTTATATTATTGCAGATTCAATGGTAGTTAATGTTAATTAATAAATAGTTTATTATATTTATATTAAATTTATATTTAATTTTAAATCAAATATTATTTTTATCAGGTTATGCTGATATCTATGCCTGCCATGGAAGAAATTTATAAACGATGTTGTGGTGTATCTGAAGATAGAGATCCAGATCGCGATTATGTACATCCTACACGTTTAATAAATTTCTTAGTAGGCTTACGGGGTAAAAATGAAACAATGGCTATTGGTGGACCATGGAGTCCTTCTTTGGATGGTCCTAATCCTGAAAAAGATCCATCAGTATTGATTAGAACGGCAGTGAGGACTTGTAAGGCGCTCACGGGAATAGATCTATCCAGTTGTACTCAGTGGTACGATTTTATATATATTGATATTTTTTTCTATTTTGATTGTTATCTTAATTATAATTTAAAGCACTTCATCGAAAGAGCAACGTGATGCTATCTAGTTTTTCTGCCCATTATTGTTTCATTATTCGCCGATACATTATCAAATTACTTCAGTAAAAATTAATATAAAAATTAAAAATTCTCATCGGTTGAAAAGTTTGGACGTCAACTTCGTCAACTTCGTCCAGCATTTCATATTGTATAAATGTATAATATATTCTTTGATGATATATAATTAAATTATGTTAAAAATATGAAATAGAATGTTATAGTATTAAGAAAGATCCGGCAGGTATACCATCTGTGAGAGAAAGTAACTTCTAATGTGAGTTCTGAATTGATAACTAAGGTTGTAGCTCAATCTCTACAGAGGAGGTATGTATTTGTTCTATACACGACCGACCGATGGAGATTGCTGCATTGGATCCTGTATCGAGCACCCAGATGATATTCAAGCAGTCGTGGCAGACAGATCATCACTATTGTTCTATGATCGTTGTAATCCACTCAGTTGTGCTTTATCAAATGGTCTACATTGTGCGCTGTGTGTGGCTTTGTATGCAGTGCGTGGGCTTTACGAACAAGCGAACGAACAC